CACATTATGGCACTTCGCTTTTCCTCTGTTCCACTGCGATTTCCCCTGCCGCCTCCTCGTGCGTCCTCTCTTCCTGCAATTCCTGACCCTGAGTCTTACTTGGCTCATGCTTCCAGTCCTACTGACCCTCGTCTTCTAGCCACTGTTTTCTCTGACCCTTTGTTTGAGTCCACTGCTGCGTCTGCCCTAGTTGCATAGCTTGTTGACTTTGCTGAGAGGGTACGCGAGGTCAGGTCGCGTGCATAGCATCAGGTACATGAGGCAACCCACAAGCTCTGTGTACGGACCACTCGGCTCTACGGACTCGTCCGAAGGTGGAGCTGAGAGCGAGTGGCCTGTAGATTGAGGAGTGGGCTGTGGCGAGGAGAACTGGAAGCCAAAGCGCTGAAGGACCTGGTGCACCATGTGTGACTGAGTCAGGATGATGGTGCGCCGAGCTCTGTCCCGGGTGATCTGCAAACCAAGATAGCTACGCAGCTCACCCAGGTCAGTGCAGGTGTGTCTCTCCTGCAGCTCCGCCTTCACTAGGGCTAGCGCCTCAGTGTCAGCATCAGGTACATGAGGCAACCCACAAGCTCTGTGTACGGACCACTCGGCTCTACGGACTCGTCCGAAGGTGGAGCTGAGAGCGAGTGGCCTGTAGATTGAGGAGTGGGCTGTGGCGAGGAGAACTGGAAGCCAAAGCGCTGAAGGACCTGGTGCACCATGTGTGACTGAGTCAGGATGATGGTGCGCCGAGCTCTGTCCCGGGTGATCTGCAAACCAAGATAGCTACGCAGCTCACACAGGTCAGTGCAGGTGTGTCTCTCCTGCAGCTCCGCCTTCACTAGGGCTAGCGCCTCAGTGTCAGCAGTAGTAAAAACCAAGTTGTCGACGTACACAAGAACGTAGAGCGGCGGCAGGGTAGTGTCGGTGCGTAGAAACAGTGGCGTGTCAGTAGAGGAAGGAGCAAACCCAAGAGCCGCAAGTGTAGTCCTCAGTGTGTCGTGCCACTCTCGGGGCGCCTGGCGGAGACCGTAGACTGGCCGCCAGAGGCTCCACTGGGTACCCGCAGGAAACGACCCAGTGAAGCCGGGTGGGCGGCACAGCCAGACCTCCTCGTGAAGGCTGCCCTGCATGAAAGCTGTGGAGAAGTCGAGGGAGTGCAGCTCGTAGTCACGATGTGCTGCAATGTGCAGTAGCACCCGAAGAGTAGTCATCTTTGGGGTGGGGGAGAAGGTATGGAAGAAGTTGACCCCCTGTCGCTGACTGAAGCCTCGAGCAACGTAACGCGCCTTGAAGGCAGGCGGAGAACCCGGCGGCCGCTTCACTCTGAAAATCCACATGCCATCGACTATGTTCGCTCCAGGAGGAGGAACCTCGTCGACGGGCAGGAACCCGTCGTGCGCCACACCCGCCACCCCCATACCCTCCCCCCCCCTGCTGCACGATCAGTAGGGGGATGGAGGAGAAGGGGGGGGCGAGGGGGTGGTGTAGGAGCCGCGCGGGCGACAGCAGGGCGAGCGACGGGCAGGAAAACCGACGTTGGCCACCCCCGCCACCCCCATACTCTCCCCCCAACTGCTGCACGCGCAGCAGGGGGATGGAGGAGAAGGGGGGGGGGGGGGGGGGCGGGGGGGCGGTTTAGGAGCTGCGCGGGCGACAGCAGGACGCATGACGAGCAGGAAACCGTCGTGCGCCCCGCCCGCCACCCCCATACCCTCCCCCTCTGCTGCACGATCAGCAGGGGGGTGGAGGAGAAGGGGGGGGCGGGGGGGCGGTGTAGGGGCTGCGCGGGCGACAGCAGGTTGCACGACGAGCAGAAAACCGTCGTGCGCCACGGGCGCACGACGGGCAGAAAACCAACGGGCGCCCTGGGCGCGCGACGGGCAGAAAACCGTCGGGCGCCCGGGGCGCGCGACGGGCAGCAGGGTGGTGCATTGGCAGAAGCAAATGGTGGGCTCAATGAAAGTAGGTCCTAGGAAGAACCTCACTCTGATAACATGTCAGAACACTAAGCACCTAGGAAACTAGGTTTAGGCTTAGGAGGAATAGGAGCCATGCTAGGGTTGAGTGTCGAGGGAGTTGAAGCAAGGAAAATCGAGAAGGAAGAAGTGGTTTCACTATTGAGCAAGGTACAAGATATAGGAAAGAGAAAGCCACATGGTACACCACCTACAGCAAGTGAGATACACTACAGTCTACACTAAAGACAGTTATAAAGGATATATAAATATATTCTAACAGTATAGGGTTACTCTGACAAATCAGAGTAAGGCGCAGGAACAACCCTAGATTTCAGAGTTGGGAAAAAAACTACTCTGGAAATCAGAGTACCTAAAATCCAAAAGTAGGCCCTGGGAGCTCCTTGTGTGCACTGCTGTTGATTGACCCCAAGGACTACACAACACATGTCTTGTTCTTTGATTGTTAGCAGCACACATGAATGGATTTACATACCTTAAGAAACAGTATTGAAGTCCTCTAGTTTCACAAAATATACATTGTACGTTAGTGGCAGTCCAGATTTTCTGGTTTCAGCCACACTGGCTGCTAATATCCTACCTGTACGTGTACTGTTCAGTTGCCTCTGGTTCCAGCCTCGGCTGCTACAGCAAAAGTTGGTCTTTTTCCTAATATTGTCTCAGTGCACCACTGATTCGGTGGAGAGTGATTCGGCTGCTGGAGCCCGTGATTCTCCGCCTGGCTCCAAACCTGCCGATGCCAACCGAAATGCCTGATGCTGCCAATGCCTGCCTCTCCTCCTCCTCTTCCTCATCAATGTACAGCTGGTTCATATAGCACATTGTTCCACCCCCAAGGACTTTGGACCTTTGTCTGCTGCTCCCATCCTCCTCCTCTTCCACTTCCTCCCCATCATCATCATACCAATACAACTGGTTTGAGACAGCCCATTTTTCCTCTGCCTTCCCAAACCCCTTCACCTCCGTTCTCCATCCCTTACCACTGCTGGAAACACCCTTAATAATCCCTCTCTTCACTGAGTTGTTCTCAGGTGCCAGAGGCAAACCAGCGGGGGTCAAACCAGAGTGATCAGCAGAGGACGAGGAGCAGAGGGTGGAAATGCCGCATCCCTTCCCAGTGCTGGAAACACCTCGGCCAATCCCCCTCTTCAAACCAGCAACCTCCTTCGCCAAGCCAGTGGGGCTGCTGCAGAGGCTAACAGCAGAGGAGGAGTAGGAATCCGAAGAGAGGTGGATGAGACACGCACTGCGGCTGCTGCAACTGCGACTCAAGCTGCACCACCCGCTGCGCACCTCTGCTCCCACCTTCCCACCCTGCTGTGTCTCTGATTCCGTCAACCCATCCTGCTCTGATCCGGTGTCCACACCCAACCAGGCTGCAACCTTGGCTGAGGAGGCAGCAATCTTAGCAACTGAGTCAACTGAGGAGGTACGTGAGGCAACTGAGTCTTCTTGAGCAAGCAGCTCCAGGAACGAAGAGGCTTTTTTCTTCTGTTCCACCGATTTCTTTGCTTCATCTGCTTCCTCAGCTTTCTCAGCTTGAGTCGAAACGTCAGCAGTCATAGTTGAAGCATCCACAGTCACAGCCACAGCCACAGCCACGGCAACGGTTTCAAGCTCTGCATCTGCTGACGCGGTTTCTTCAAGAAGCGCAACAACAGGAACAGCGGAAACCGACTGCACCTCCACTGCTGCTTGCTTGCACGGCCTGATCCAATTGAAGACGGCCTGCGCGAGGAACCAGAGAGCAATAACGGAAGATTAGTCACCATTTCAATTAGTGCTGGATTTTAGACCAATCAGACGAGAGATGCTTGCATGCAACATATGTGCAGAAACGAAAGCGACGGCTGAGAGAAAAAAAAAAATCTTACCAGGCGCGGAGTAGCGATCATGCTGCAGACGAGGCGAGTGAGGGAGTCATTCTGCTCCCAGCAGCTCGAGAACAGAGCATCGACGTCCACGCAGGCGCTCTCAGCACCGATGCAGGCCATATTGCTGACGTACGAAGAGTTGGAAGATTACGGTTAAGTTTTTGCGACGAGATTACAGAGTACCCGAGCACTTGACAAGAGGTGTACAGCAGGGAGCTCGAGCAGGTAGGAACTCGAGGGCAAAGAAAGAAGATCAGCGAGCAACTTCAGTCGAGACCGATGAATGAATGAGAACCACCAGCGACATAATTAAAATGTTTCTGTCTGGTGGGTGTAGCAGGCGTCGAGTGAGAAGCGGGTGAGAGCGAGCGAGCGAGGAAATGCGACGAGAGGGGTGGGAGGGTGGCTGGGGGAGCCAGGCAAGCCGGGGGGACCCGCCGATGGTCGCTGCTTCGCAACCCAGTGGGGTGGGCTTGCGAGGGCTTGCGATGATGACTGGAGCCCATGGCGATATCGTCGTCTGTTCTCGAGGGTATCGGGAAGTCGCACGAGTTTTCATTTTTACAGTAACGATTCAGGGTATACCACGTGTATCTTATGTGCCAGCGAGGGGAGTCGTTTGGAAGCGCGTATTGCTCTAGCGTCCGCCGCAATCGGGAATACCTGAGTGCGACCCGAGATTTGGAAGGCGGGAAATAGGGCAGGCTCGGAGCCGACGAGAGTTACGGCTAACACTGTATGATCTACCGAACCTAATGTCGAAGCCTAGAGAGATTAGCAGGAGTGTGTGACCACGTAGAATTAGCTACGCTCGAACCTGGGTAGCAGGTAAGGCAGTTTGGTGTTTTGAAAGGCAGGGGAGCGATAAATTCGGGACTTGAGAAGCGCTACACGTTTTCCCCGCTTCGTCATAATGACGAAAAACGTGTTGAGTGTTTGCCAGCCTTGTATACAATTTCCACATGAAATAAAGCAAGATGAAAAGGTTGCGCATTATGATGTATTCCTCATGGCCATATGGTCAAACAACCATGAGCAACCAGTACAATACTGTACGAGAAATATCATTCAGCATAACAAACCAGAGCACTGGTTTGTCAATGGTATTATCGTAGTATTTGGCAAGCAGCATCTTGCACGTAAGCGCATCTGTTGATGGTGCCTACGTGGACGGCGCAGATGTTGATGGTGCCGACATGGACGGTGCAGATGTTGATGGCGCTGACATGGACGGTGCAGATGTTGATGATGCACAATGGATGGCCGAAGGGCTATGGAGCCCGGAACCAGGAACCTCATCCATTCCCGGTCCAACAGCCAAAGTGGACCCTCTCCTTCCACCATCCACAAATATACACACACTATTGCCATACCGCCTCCCCCTCATTTCACCCCCACTTCCCTCACCTCCATCCTCCATCCCTTCCTCCTCCACCTCCTCATCCCCTTCCTCCATCTTCCCTTTCCCTTTTTCTTTCCTCCCTTTCTTTCCCCTTTTCCCCTTACCCATGCCCTCCTCATAACCTCCACCAGGAGTGGCCCAAACCGCCCCACTTCCATGCCTTTCCCCCACCCCATTCCCTTGCGGCCCCCCTTCCCCAGCAGCAGAGGGATCCGTGGGGAGAAGAGAGGGGGAGGCGGCGGGAGGAGGGGGGAGGGCCTTGAGAGCGGAGTGCAGGAGGGAGAAGGGGAGGGCGAGGGCTGGGAGGAGCACACCGGAGCGATGAAGCAGGGCCAAGGTGATGAGACCTGGGGGAAGTGGGGAGGGAACATGAGATGGGGGGTGAACGGGAGGGCGAGGGCGGGGAGAAGCACACCAGAGCGATAGAGGAGTGCCAGGGTGATGAGAGCTGGGGGAAGAGGGGGAGGGACACGGAGTGGGAGGAGAGGAAATAGGAGCATATTGAGCGATTGAAGGAGTGAGAAAAGGAGGGCAAGGGCGGGGAGGAGCATGCCAGAGCGATGGAAGAGAGCCAAGGTGATGTGAGCTGGGGGGAGGGGGAGGGGGGATGGCGGGTGGGTGAGAGTAGCAGCATATAGAGGGTTCACAAGTGATACGAGTTCAAGTCGAGGGCCTTGAGAGTGGAGTGCAGGCGAGGGAAGGTGGGGGCGAGGGCGGGGAGGGGAGGAGCACACTGGAGTGATGGAGGAGAGCCAAGGTGATGAGAGCTGGGGGAAGGGACAGATGGGGGGTGGGGAAGAGTCGAGAATATTCTCCCTTCGCAAGAGAACAAGAACAAAGTGCGTTTAAAATGACCCTTCAAAAGCTGACAGGTGTGTTTGCACAGATGACAAGGATAACAGCAATAGACAATCACACCGCAAACAGGCCCACCTGCAAGAATGATCAAGACGAGTGCAATGGCTCTGGAATTTGCTGGAGTTTGTAAACAACGTTTTGCACAGGCCTAGTACCTGCAAGAACGATGAGCATGACTGCAATGGCTCCTGCGAAGCGACCCCAGCAGGCGTGAGTGACGAAGCAGGCCATGCCGAAGAATGAAGGACAGGCGAAACTGGTGTGTGGAGGAAGGATAACAAAAAGTACAGGGTGCATGGAGATGCCAAGGGGATGGGAATCGTGCAAGCTGGCATGAGTAATGAAGCAGAGTGGAAGGGTGGTACTGAGAACCTGAACCTTCCTATCAATGCAGGACTCTCTAATTCACCTGCAGGAGTTGTCACTTCAACGTGAAAAGGGAGGAGGAAGAGGAGGAGCCAGGGCGAGGGGAGAAGAGTGTGGTGTTTTGGATGGCCTTGCCGTCTGACTGCCCGCTCTGACCACCTGTCACGCTCTTACCACCAGCCCACCCACCTGCAAGTGCTGTCACTTGAACGCGAATCGGAGGAGGAAGAGGAGGAAGAGCCAGGGCGAGGGGAGAAGAGCGTGGTGTTCTGGATGGCCTTGCCGTCTGTGTGCCTGTCTGTCTCTCAGTACCAACCACCCACCAACTCACCCACCTGCAAGTGCTGTCACTTGAACGTGAAGAGGAAGATGAGGAGGAGGAGCCAGGGCGTGGGGGCCTTGCCATCTGATTGCCCGCTCTGCGCCCCACCGTCGTCCACCGTGCTAGTCTCTCAATACGACCCACCCACCTGCATGAACTGTCTCCTGAACGCGAAGATGGGGCGCAGGAGGAGGAGGAGCCAGGGCGAGGGGAGAAGAGCGTGGTGTTCTGAATGGCCTTGCCGTCTGACTGCCCGCTCTGCCTCTCCCTCAGTAATAACCACCCACCTGCAAGTGCTGTCACTGGAACGCGATGAGGAGGAGGATGAAGAGGACGACCCAGGGCGAGGGGAGAAGAGCGTGGTGTTCTGGATGGCTTTGCCGTCTGACTGACCGCTCTGCGCCCCCCGGTTGTCCACCGTGGCATTGGTGGTGAATGCGAGGGGTGCCACGTCAGCAACTGATGAGATGGCGTCATACAGGACAACTGGGGGAGGGAGGAGGGAGGAGGGAGGAGGGAGGAGGGAGGAGGGAGGAGGGAGGAGGGAGGAGGGAGGAGGGAGGGGAGAGGAAGGATGCAACCAGCAGGGAATGGAGGGGGCTTTTGAGATTTCTCAAACGGAGTCATTTCCAAAAGTGTATCCAGAAGTTAGGTTCTAAAACCGCGGTTCAAAAGTTTCAAAACCCCTCAGGTTGTCACACAATTAATAAGTGAGGAGACAGAGTGTGAGCACATGACTACCAGGCAGGCCTCTAGCAAGAGGGGAGGGAAGGGAAGCGATGGCAGGTGTGGCACGATAGAAGGCAGCAAGCTTCCGACAAGGTTCTGAAACCGCGGTTCTCCGCCGTGGCATTGGTGGTAAAGGCGAGCGACGCCACGTCAGCAACCGATGAGACGGCACAAAACAGGACCACTCGGGGAGGGATAGGGGAGGAGGAGGGAAGGAGATGTGATGCATGGTGCATGGGGCACAGCACATGGGGCATGGCGCATTCTTGGGCAGCATCCTAAAAAGGCACGAGCGCTGCGACAAAAGGGGGTCCTGAAGCTGCAGCAGAAAGGTGAAGGCTGCTGCTGGTGGTGCGAACAAGAACAAGGCACACAGCGATGGAAAGTCTTGCCAAGGGATCTCAACAAGACGGGAGTGTGAAAAGGCATCCTACCAAGGCATGAGCGCTGCGACTCAAGGGAGTCCTGAAGCTGCAGCAGAAAGGTGAATGCTGCTGTCGCACCCGCTGCTATGCTGCGCTCCTGAGCCTGAGTTTAGTGGGGGAAGAGGGTGCGGGAGAAGTGGGGATTGCAAGAGAGGCAGTTGGGGTTGGTTCAGATACCGAAGAATGGTGAAGCCTGCTGCAGCGATGCTGCGTTCATGTACTTGATACAGGAAATAAGAAGAACAAGTGCATGAGAGAAATAAGCTAGTACAGAAATTCCATCAGCATGGAGAGAATGGACAATTCAACGGTATGGGAATAATGAGCTAGGGAAAGAGTTGAACGGAGTTGAAGAATCAGAAGGAGTGGAGGAGTGAAGGAGTGAAGGACAGCGAAGGACGAGCAAAGGACTCACGGGTATTGGGAGAACGCCAGAAGAACAATTCTGAATCTGCAGAAACAGGAGTACAATGAGGCAAACGGAGAGAGGGGATTAGGCAGACTGTTGCAACTACACACGTGATTGAACAAGTGTTTTGAGACGTCTCAAAACACACACGTGATTGAAGAAGTGTTTTGAGACGTCTCAAAACACACACGTGTGTAATGAGGCGATTTTTTAGTCGACTCTAAAATGCACTTGCTCGCATCACATCACACTCATGCATACCTCGAGGGTGAAATCCACATCCAGAGAGCCGCTGTTAGCAATCCTCATGTTCACCCTGCTCGTTTTGACTCGACACAAATGTGAGCAGTGCATTGGTAGCGTCTGATATGTGAGCATACCGTGAGGGTGAAATCCGCATCCAGAGAGCCGCTGTTGGCGATTCTGATGTCCACCCGCCCCTCACTGGACATAGCTTCAAAGAGAGGCGCTGCCACTGACACTATGCGCCCAGGGCTCCTGTGAGAGGAGGACGAGGGAGTAGAGGTAGCAGATAGAGACGAGAGATCTGTTGTTGGCAATCCGTATGTCCACCCGCCCCTCACTGGACATAGCTTCAAAGAGTGGACACTATGTGAGCAGGACTCCTGTGTCAGGGACGAGAGGGAGGAGAGATAGAAAGAAAGGAGACTCCTCATAAAGCAAGCAGATGGAGGAGAAGAAAGATGGAGTTGGGAAGGTCTCAAAGGCACGAAAGGAGGAATTCTCCATTCAAACGCAAGGCTGTTGTGGGCAATCCAGACGCCCACCCTGCCCTCAAGTCAAGGCGATTTGTGAGGTGCCTCAAAAAGGGCGCCTCAACAATCACCTCAGCATAAGCAAGGCCGTCCATTGTGAGCAATCCAGACGTCCACCCTGCCCTCACATAATTACCCACCTGTTCTTGATGAAGGTGACGTCATCAGCGGCAATCTCGAGGGTGATGAGGGAGTTGAGTCGCTGAGTCACGACCAGGGCGATACTGAGGGAGCCGTTTGGCTGGAAGGGGAGCGCGGTTCAGATGGGTTTAAATGGAACCAGAACACAGAAAAGGAGAAACTTTGGTTAGGAAGTTGAGTCTCTGAGTCACGATGAGGGTAATGATGAGGGAAATAAAAAATAAGAAATCAAGAAGGGAAGGAAAAGAAAGAAAGCGGGTGCGCTGGGAATAAGAAATTGGCCCACAGCTGCGCAATAACTAAACGCATAAAGCGTGTCCCCTCCAGCAAAACGGCGCAGCTGAAAATAACTAATTGCATAAAGCAATTTCCGGTGTTGCAATCTCTTGGAAAAGTCCCTTGTACAGTAGGTTATACATATGGTGACGTCAAAACCAAAACTCACGCTTTCCAGTGTGGTGATGGGTCCCAGCGACGACAGCGCGTGAATGGGGTCTAGGCCCTGTGCCACTCAAGGTGGCTCGTGAGTCAACCCCTAAACGATCCTTGCCATCCCTTCCCGGCACTCAGCTGCACTCACTCACGCTTTCCAGTGTGGTGATGGGTCCCAGCGACGACAGCGCGTAGATGGGGTCAAGACCCTGTGCCACTCGCTGGGCATCCTCCTACCGTGGCGTTGAGAGGTGAGGTGGAAGGGAGTGGAGGGATTAGGCAGATGAGGAGTGTGTGAGAGGAGAGCAATATGGCTCATCAACTCAAGGAGCTCGTGGATGGGGTCAAAGCCTTGAGCTACTCACTGGGTGTCCTCCTGCCGTGACGAGATGGGGGGTGAGGGGAGAGGTGGGGGTAGGGAGAGGAGGGGATAGGGATTCGAACCATTAATCGCCTATCCAATCGAACAGTTAACCAACCAACCAACCGACCATCCAACCAACCATCCAACCGACCTGGGCGAAGTTGAGCAGATGGTTGGGGAGGCATGACCCCACGGAGCGCTGGCAGCGAGGTATTCAGTGTTGTGCAGTGTTGAGATTCGGAGCAGTGATTGACCAACCAATCAGCTGACCTGGGCGAAGTCCAGCAGTTGTTTGGAGAGGCAAGACCCCACGGAGCGTTGGCAGCAGTCGGGCTCAAAGCAGAAGGCGGTGAAGCTGGTGCCCACCTTGTTGCACTCAAAAGGACGGCAACCTTTCTTCGCTGGTTATTCGTTCGACTCACAGCACACACGGCGTGAGTCGAGTCGATGTTTCACGGTGCTGCACTGCATGGCAGCGAGTGCAACAAGGTGGGCACCAGATGGTAGGGCACCAGATGGTAGGGCACCAGATGGTAGGGCACCAGATGGTAGGGCACCAGATGGTAGGGCACCAGATGGTAGGGCACCAGATGGTAGGGCACCAGATGGTAGGGCACCAGATGGTAGGGCACCAGATGGTAGGGCACCAGATGGTAGGGCACCAGATGGTAGGGCACCAGATGGTAGGGCACCAGATGGTAGGGCACCAGATGGTAGGGCACCAGATGGTAGGGCACCAGATGGTAGGGCACCAGATGGTAGGGCACCAGATGGTAGGGCACCAGATGGTAGGGCACCAGATGGTAGGGCACCAGATGGTAGGGCACCAGATGGTAGGGCACCAGATGGTAGGGCACCAGATGGTAGGGCACCAGATGGTAGGGCACCAGATGGTAGGGCACCAGATGGTAGGGCACCAGATGGTAGGGCACCAGATGGTAGGGCACCAGATGGTAGGGCACCAGATGGTAGGGCACCAGATGGTAGGGCACCAGATGGTAGGGCACCAGATGGTAGGGCACCAGATGGTAGGGCACCAGATGGTAGGGCACCAGATGGTAGGGCACCAGATGGTAGGGCACCAGATGGTAGGGCACCAGATGGTAGGGCACCAGATGGTAGGGCACCAGATGGTAGGGCACCAGATGGTAGGGCACCAGATGGTAGGGCACCAGATGGTAGGGCACCAGATGGTAGGGCACCAGATGGTAGGGCACCAGATGGTAGGGCACCAGATGGTAGGGCACCAGATGGTAGGGCACCAGATGGTAGGGCACCAGATGGTAGGGCACCAGATGGTAGGGCACCAGATGGTAGGGCACCAGATGGTAGGGCACCAGATGGTAGGGCACCAGATGGTAGGGCACCAGATGGTAGGGCACCAGATGGTAGGGCACCAGATGGTAGGGCACCAGATGGTAGGGCACCAGATGGTAGGGCACCAGATGGTAGGGCACCAGATGGTAGGGCACCAGATGGTAGGGCACCAGATGGTAGGGCACCAGATGGTAGGGCACCAGATGGTAGGGCACCAGATGGTAGGGCACCAGATGGTAGGGCACCAGATGGTAGGGCACCAGATGGTAGGGCACCAGATGGTAGGGCACCAGATGGTAGGGCACCAGATGGTAGGGCACCAGATGGTAGGGCACCAGATGGTAGGGCACCAGATGGTAGGGCACCAGATGGTAGGGCACCAGATGGTAGGGCACCAGATGGTAGGGCACCAGATGGTAGGGCACCAGATGGTAGGGCACCAGATGGTAGGGCACCAGATGGTAGGGCACCAGATGGTAGGGCACCAGATGGTAGGGCACCAGATGGTAGGGCACCAGATGGTAGGGCACCAGATGGTAGGGCACCAGATGGTAGGGCACCAGATGGTAGGGCACCAGATGGTAGGGCACCAGATGGTAGGGCACCAGATGGTAGGGCACCAGATGGTAGGGCACCAGATGGTAGGGCACCAGATGGTAGGGCACCAGATGGTAGGGCACCAGATGGTAGGGCACCAGATGGTAGGGCACCAGATGGTAGGGCACCAGATGGTAGGGCACCAGATGGTAGGGCACCAGATGGTAGGGCACCAGATGGTAGGGCACCAGATGGTAGGGCACCAGATGGTAGGGCACCAGATGGTAGGGCACCAGATGGTAGGGCACCAGATGGTAGGGCACCAGATGGTAGGGCACCAGATGGTAGGGCACCAGATGGTAGGGCACCAGATGGTAGGGCACCAGATGGTAGGGCACCAGATGGTAGGGCACCAGATGGTAGGGCACCAGATGGTAGGGCACCAGATGGTAGGGCACCAGATGGTAGGGCACCAGATGGTAGGGCACCAGATGGTAGGGCACCAGATGGTAGGGCACCAGATGGTAGGGCACCAGATGGTAGGGCACCAGATGGTAGGGCACCAGATGGTAGGGCACCAGATGGTAGGGCACCAGATGGTAGGGCACCAGATGGTAGGGCACCAGATGGTAGGGCACCAGATGGTAGGGCACCAGATGGTAGGGCACCAGATGGTAGGGCACCAGATGGTAGGGCACCAGATGGTAGGGCACCAGATGGTAGGGCACCAGATGGTAGGGCACCAGATGGTAGGGCACCAGATGGTAGGGCACCAGATGGTAGGGCACCAGATGGTAGGGCACCAGATGGTAGGGCACCAGATGGTAGGGCACCAGATGGTAGGGCACCAGATGGTAGGGCACCAGATGGTAGGGCACCAGATGGTAGGGCACCAGATGGTAGGGCACCAGATGGTAGGGCACCAGATGGTAGGGCACCAGATGGTAGGGCACCAGATGGTAGGGCACCAGATGGTAGGGCACCAGATGGTAGGGCACCAGATGGTAGGGCACCAGATGGTAGGGCACCAGATGGTAGGGCACCAGATGGTAGGGCACCAGATGGTAGGGCACCAGATGGTAGGGCACCAGATGGTAGGGCACCAGATGGTAGGGCACCAGATGGTAGGGCACCAGATGGTAGGGCACCAGATGGTAGGGCACCAGATGGTAGGGCACCAGATGGTAGGGCACCAGATGGTAGGGCACCAGATGGTAAGGGGCACCAGATGGTAGGGCACCAGATGGTAGGGGCACCAGATGGTAGGGCACCAGATGGTAGGGGCACCAGATGGTAGGGGCACCAGATGGTAGGGCACCAGATGGTAGGGCACCAGATGGTAGGGCACCAGATGGTAGGGCACCAGATGGTAGGGCACCAGATGGTAGCGGCGACCAGATGGTAGGGCACCAGATGGTAGGGCACCAGATGGTAGGGGCACCAGATGGTAGGGCACCAGATGGTAGGGCACCAGATGGTAGGGCACCAGATGGTAGGGCACCAGATGGTAGGGCACCAGATTGGTAGGGCACCAGATGGTAGGGCACCAGATGGTAGGGCACCAGAATGGTAGGGGCACCAGATGGTAGGGCACCAGATGGTAGGGGCACCAGATGGTAGGGCACCAGATGGTAGGGCACCAGATGGTAGGGCACCAGATGGTAGGCACCAGATGGTAGGAGCACCAGATGGTAGGGCACCAGATGGTAGGGGCACCAGATGGTAGGGCACCAGATGGTAGGGCACCAGATGGTAGGGCACCAGATGGTAGGGCACCAGATGGTAGGGCACCAGATGGTAGGGCACCAGATGGTAGGGCACCAGATGGTAGGGCACCAGATGGTAGGGCACCAGATGGTAGGGCCACCAGATGGTAGGGCACCAGATGGTAGGGCACCAGGATGGTAGGGCACCAGATGGTAGGGCACCAGATGGTAGGGGCACCAGATGGTAGGGCACCAGAATGGTAGGGCACCAGATGGTAGGGCACCAGATGGTAGGGCACCAGATGGTAGGGCACCAGATGGTAGGGCACCAGATGGTAGGGCACCAGATGGTAGGGCACCAGATGGTAGGGCACCATATGGTAGGGCACCAGATGGTAGGGCACCAGATGGTAGGGCACCAGATGGTAGGGCACCAGATGGTAGGGCACCAGATGGTAGGGCACCAGATGGTAGGGCACCAGATTGGTAGGGCACCAGATGGTAGGGCACCAGATGGTAGGGCACCAGATGGTAGGGCACCAGATGGTAGGGCACCAGATGGTAGGGCACCAGATGGTAGGGCACCAGATGGTAGGGCACCAGATGGTAGGGCACCAGATGGTAGGGCACCAGATGGTAGGGCACCAGATGGTAGGGCACCAGATGGTAGGGCACCAGATGGTAGGGCACCAGATGGTAGGGCACCAGATGGTAGGGCACCAGATGGTAGGGCACCAGATGGTAGGGCACCAGATGGTAGGGCACCAGATGGTAGGGCACCAGATGGTAGGGCACCAGATGGTAGGGCACCAGATGGTAGGGCACCAGATGGTAGGGCACCAGATGGTAGGGCACCAGATGGTAGGGGCACCAGATGGTAGGGCACCAGATGGTAGGGCACCAGATGGTAGGGCACCAGATGGTAGGGCACCAGATGGTAGGGCACCAGATGGTAGGGCACCAGATGGTAGGGCACCAGATGGTAGGGCACCAGATGGTAGGGCACCAGATGGTAGGGCACCAGATGGTAGGGCACCAGATGGTAGGGCACCAGATGGTAGGGCACCAGATGGTAGGGCACCAGATGGTAGGGCACCAGATGGTAGGGCACCAGATGGTAGGGCACCAGATGGTAGGGCACCAGATGGTAGGGCACCAGATGGTAGGGCACCAGATGGTAGGGCACCAGATGGTAGGGCACCAGATGGTAGGGCACCAGATGGTAGGGCACCAGATGGTAGGGCACCAGATGGTAGGGCACCAGATGGTAGGGCACCAGATGGTAGGGCACCAGATGGTAGGGCACCAG